ACGCCCTCCTCCCCAACTTCCCTGAGTCTCGTCTCCTTCATGCCGGCCCCAGCATCTACCTCTGGTTCACACACCCAACGCCCACCTTCACTCGACTCATCCATTCCTTCATGCCCGTTCACATCTTCTTTCCGGCCTCCATCATCGTCTCTTCCGCCATCGCTGACGTCCCCACTGTTGCATCCCCTCGCCACCCCCGCGTGCCCCTGCCGTTCACGCCGCAGCCGCTCCCAGCGCTCTCCGACTGCCACCGCCGCCCTAACGAAGTTTCGCCCGTTGGCCGGAGCGCCTCCCCGAAATTATCTCATACATTTTGTATAGTTTTCTCTTCATGTTTTTCTCTCCGGCGCGGCGGGCAAGTGGAAAATGGGATGGGAGGGGCTTAAAACTTACCTACTGAGTGGAATGCACCGAAAGTGCTGGCCTCCCTTAAGGCGCGGGCCGGGGAACCTCTTGTTCCGGCGGGTTGAAGGAGGTCATTTTGACTACGTTTATTTTCGGCCTTCCTTCGTTTTCTCTGTGCATTTGCTGATGGTAGAGCTACTTCGTGGAAGACGTTGGCGTTCTTTATAAAAAAAATAGCCGGACTAATCCTCTAAACCACTCGAAATTGTGAGAACAGGCGACTGGCAATTTCAACACTCGCTTGAGTATTTTATTTTCCAATATTTTGATATTAATTATAATTAAATAATTTAGCTATAAATAATAATTTTAAATTATGAGATACTGTAGGTATTGGGGATGAGTAAAGTTTATTTTTACATTATGAACTCATCATCCATAATTTTAATTATCCGAGAAGAATTATTAATTAGTCTAAATTAAGCAACGCTATTTTTTGTTTTCCACGGCAATCAATACTCACAAGCGCGTTAACAATTAATAATAATTTTCATAGCTTAAATATACTTTTCGCGAAAGAATAATGAGATGATGCTAATGTGTAATGTTTCTCACTGCTTGGATGACGTGCCTCTTCCGTCCACATGCGTCAAAAAGTCTCAAGGTCAGCGTTGGTTGCACCGCCGCAAATACGAAACACTTGTCAGCGTATTAGAATCTATTATGAATGCCCTGAACCCGTCAACGCGCGAGAACGGTTAAGCAGTAATATACTGACTGTTACAGTTGTAATGTTTATTGTGCATGACCTTTAAAAATTAAAGTTTTTTAGCAACTTATTTGAACATAAGACACTGCGGTTTCAAAAATAATTTAAAAATAATTACAAAATTGTTGCAATCACGTTTAAAAATTGAAACAATAATGAAAGATCACGATTCGATAATAACGATGCTCTCGCGATCCATGAAGTCAGTGGCCACCAAGAAGGAAGAGAGTTATGTCTTTGGAGCCTAGATTGGGGCTGTGATGCCTCTTAAGTCTGCCTCACACGGAACCATTGGGCAGCACCACCGAGATTGCCGAGCCCCTTCACAATCAGCCATGGATCAGTACCACTGAGCGTGGGAAAGGAAGGCTTCTTACGTCACCTCTATGAGCGCCGGCAGCTCAAGGCACTCGGGCTTCCGAATCGCCTAGTGTGAAGGCTGCCGCTTGGAATTGTGTTCTGCTGGCGGTAGCGCGGAAATGCGTCTGCTGGTGGTGGCGAGAAAGCGTCACTAATGGCCACAGCTGCGCCACTGCGCCGATCCTGTGAATATCTCCGTTTAAACCAATGCTTTACCAGTAGCAGCGCCACTCGAAAACACTGAGTTGCGCCGCGTGAAGGGGATCTAACAAACGACAGATTACTAACTTGTCCTGTTGAACATCTTCTTATTGACAGATCTCCATTAAGCTCGATGGCATTGTAAGATCCGATCAAAATTTAAATGTATACTAATAAGTCGAAAAAACAATTCGTATTCACATCCATTGTGCTGAAAACAGCCTGCCGTCTTTGCCGACATTTAAAAAAATTTAATGTTGATAAACTCAAAGTTTACCACATTCTGGTACAAATGGTACCACATTCTGAGACAAGCACTTGAAACAATCGACCCGGGTCTTATCATTTTGGATTTTACATTCAACCTTACCTCGTTTACATCTCTTGTATTTCATCGTCGACAAAGGTGTCTTGTCGACAAAGGTGTCCTATGCAAACGACTCCACCATCTCCACGGTAGCAGATCTTGAGATCAGCGTCCGCTAATAAACGAAGTGTCTCCGTTTTCGTAGCCTATGCTGGGCGTGGACGTCTCGCTAATAAAGGTGAAGTTATTAACCTGGACGGTTGAAGAATTTCTCTATTGGAAATACCGACAAAATTGGATTCCTGCCAGTCTGATTTGATAAAATATTCAAAATTAAAAATGAACTTCAAAAAAGAAAAATATGACGATTCTTTCTCGTATTCTTTAGACTAAAATTCATCCTGACCTCATCACTGACACTCTCCTAGAAGTCTACAATTTACCGTTGGTAGTACTTTCTCAGGCAAATACTGCCAAGAGGCGACACGGGACTTCTATTCAATATTCTCTCCGGGTTGTCACTCGCACACCTTCATTTCCGACGAATTCCCAAAGGTCTGAAGGTCACGAGTCGCCCACTCCGCATGGGTCGTGCACCCCGAGGTCAGCGCCCGCCAATAAGAACCAAGGGCCTTCGTCTTCGGGATCTACACTGGGTATGGAAATCTCACCAACAAAGGAGAGGTTACTAACCTGCCATGTTGAAGAATTTCTGTATAGACAAATTTACAAATTTTAACAAACATTTTAACAAACATTTTAACAAACAACATTTTATTGACAAATTTTAACTACTGACAATAATATTTGATCAAATACTCAATGTGTAAATGAGTCAGAAAAAACACAAAATACGATTTGTTTTCATGTTTTTCGGACTGAAATTCATGCTGATCTCATTACTGTCTCCTAAAGGTCACAAATTTTTAGTTGGTATCACTTTCTCAGGCAAATACTGCCAATAGGCTACAGGGGACTTTGTATTCAACGTCCTTTCACTCTCTCTCTCTCTCCTCGGGTTGTCACTGCGCACAATCTTCATCGCCGACGAATTCCCAAAGGTTGTCAAGGTCAGCAGGTCGCCCACCCCCGCATTGGGTCGTGCATCCGAGGTCAGCGGCCAGGCCAATAAGGCCGAAGCGTTATTCCGTCTGCGGCCGGCCGTATTATTGGGCATTGGATCGCGTCTCTACTACTGCTAGCGTTCGCGCACAGTAAGGGGGGCGTGGGCGGCGCGCGGGGCGGGAGCCGGGGGGGGAGGGGGGCGCGCACGAGGCGGCAGCGCGCTACGCGCGATGTCCGCGCGACTGGCAAAGCGTTATTGCCGGAAGCGACGCCGATGACGTGTTCTTCGGGACGCCGCCCCGAGGCAGCCGGGGGCGCCCTTTACCGCTAATGCGCGGCCGAGAAGCCTCTGCCCGCGGCGTGCCCGAGAGCTGCTTAAAGTATGCGCCGGAAGCTGCGGCCAACAAAAGGCGATTTTCGAATCGCATGGGCAGGAAGCGGCGCGCGGTGCGGCGGGCCGGGCGGCTCTCAGCACATGCGCCGGACGCCAGCGAGGGGAGCAGCGGGGCGGGCGTGGCGGCGGGGCAGGTGGCAGGCAGGGTGCACGCTCGGTGAGCCAGCGTGTGGGCGAGGCGGAGCGGTCTCCAGCACAAGGTCCGCATCCGCCGAGAGGCAGGGTGGATTGACGCACGCAGAGGCACCAGCACGGACGTAACCTGTGGGCTGGCCTAGCAATAGGTGGAGAGAATGGGTGCGGGCGTGGGGCGCTGCGGGTGGGCGGTGGGCGGGGCGGGCGTGGGCGGCAGCGGGCGGGCGGGCCGAAGTGCGGCGGGGCGTGGGCGGCGGGGGCCGTGGGCGCGGGCGGTGCGGGCGTGGGCGGGCGTTGGCGCGGGCGTGGGGCGGCAGGTTCTGGGCGCGCAGGTCGGGGTCGTTGCGTGGGCAGCGGGTCGTGCGGAGGCGAGGCCGTGGGCCGGTCGGGAGCGCGGTCGTGGCGCGGCGGGCGTGGGCGCGGGCGTGGGCGCCGAGGCTAGTGGCGCGAGCGTCGCGGGCTGCTGCTGGGCAGCCTGGCGTGGGCGCGCGTGGGCCGGTGCCCGCTGTTCGCTGGGCTGCGCCCTGGCGGCTGGCTGGGCGCTGGCACGTGGGCGCCTGGCCGTGGGCGCCTGGCGTGCTGCAGACGGTGACGAGGCGGTGTCGGGATGGGCCGTCGCACGGGTCGAGAGACGGGAGCTGGTGTCGAGGCAGTGTTGAGGACAGAGGCGCGGGTGGCGACGGCATCTGCGTAGTGGTAGCTTTGGGCGATGTCGACGGGCGAACTACGGAAGGAGCGACGGCGGAGGTGGCGGAGTTGAGAGCTGCGGCGAGGGCGCGGCGCCGGAAGTGGCTAGGAGCGGATGTGACGCAGCGCGGAGGATGGGGAGGCCGAGTAGAGCACTTGCAAGAGGAAATTATGAGACCGGCGGCGGTGAGTTGCGCGGCAAAGAGGTGCATCCAGTGGCAGACGACGTGATATTGAAACCTGAGATATCTCATGAGCAAACCCTTCCCGAAACCCCATGAGCGAAGAACAGCTTTGGATATCAATCCATGGTTATCTGAGTAGTTGTTTGATTGAGTGTAGTTTAATAGGCAATGAAGGTCAAACATGTAGGCTGAGAGGCAGGAAGTGGGAAAAAGGAGTTACGGAAGGTAGAAGAGAAGAATGAAAAGAAGGTAGAAGAAGGAGAGGAAGAAAGAAAGAAACAAACTGAAAATGGTGAAATATAGAAAGAAAACCTGACTCGACTCACTAAGTCATGGAACGTTTTAAAGAAGAAATTAGGAAAATGAATAAATATAAAAGAGGAAGTAATAAAATATTACAATGCGCGGTTAATGTCGACAAAGAGAAGTTACGCTATGATAATGAACTGCGGTTACGATAAAAGCTGATTTAGATGTGTAAGCGAATTTCATGAAAATTCGAAATAAATGGGGCGTAATAAATGATGCAAGAGATATGATGGTATGTTAGAAATGGGAGGCATATGCGATGCATCTTGTGTACAAGTCAAAAATATGATGATGAAATGGGAGAGAAGTGTGCCTGGGATGTACTTTAAAGAATGAGAAAATGGAATAATAAGATGATGTTCCCATATTGCAGCGATCATTCACAGAAACAAGAATCCCCATGACACGATGTGAAGATACTAAAGAAGTTATGGAGTCATTAAAAATGTATCTAATTCAGAAACATTATACCCAATGTTTAAAAAACTATTAACAATGTTATACTAAACAGTGAACTAAGTGGGCAATAAACTGTAGTGCTGATAAAAGATCTGTAGATATGATTACGCCGAAATTCTTTGGTAATTAAAGTCGAGACCTTGAGGTATTTCATATTGAAGATGAAAGAATAATATGTCGCGATAGTAAAAAATGATTTATGAAACATAATTATACAACACATTCCAACAAAAGCCTAAGTACTTTGTAACTGCCTCTCTGCCTTGTATTTTGTACAGTTGTTCCCAACATCAGATATTGGTAGTTATTAAGTCTACAAACACACACACAAAAATTCAATTACAATAATTAAATGGTAAAATTCATTGTTGTTCACATTGTTATTAATATATATTCTGAATGAACGTGGTCAAAACATGAAAGGAAATCGAAAAGTGGTAAATTCTGTTCATAACTATTTGTATAAATCAATCATTTAAGCCCTTTAATATTCTATATTGTTTTTTTTTACATTTTACCTATTGTAGTTTTGTAGGCTTTGTTTCTGTTAATGTCTGAAGATGGGGAAACTCCGCAAAACGAATTCATTTTTTGATGAAATGTTTAATATTTTTATTAAATTAAACTTTATACAATTGAGTTAAATGTTTTCAATACCCCAAATAAACGATAGCCACGTGCAGCAAAAAAAATTGTATATTTATTGGATATAACAGACACATTTTGTAAGCATAGAGACTAAATGACATTAAATCGATTTGCGGAGTGATTTCTGCATTACTCTTTTTTCTTACGGTTGTACCTTGTTTTCATTCTCGAACAGCCAAATCTGACAGTTTCTGTGTTTTAGAGCAAATAATACACTTCCATTCATCACCTAAATAAAAGCTGAAAGACCCACGCCGACAGATACTGGAACGAAATATTCTTACCGCTCTCAGCCGAAAACTCACGAAAAGAAATAGTGACGGGTGAAAGGAAAAGCGAGGCAGAAAAAGTGAGTTAGTTAGACGAAGGTAGGACGAAGGGCGGGCAGATGATGTGGGTCTGACGAGGGGGCGCGGGAGGACCAGGATATTGCTGAGTAGGTCGACACTGGGCTGTGGTCCCGATTAGGAAAAAATGCGGACAATTTGTACTTTCTCGCATACCACGTACGTAGTAATAATAAAATATTGTAATTGCTGTAATAACTGCAATTACTAGTCAGAATAACTAGTATTGCTGGTCAGTGTTACTGAAAAAATGATAATTTTTGCTCCTGTCTTTTGAAAATCACTTCCCAGAATACGTTGTGTGTATAGTCAGAATCGACATTTTGTGGCTTCTAGATGCCGAAAAATTGTTTTCAAGCAAAACTTCCGCCGTCTGACCGACAGTCTGTAATCTGTCTGAGCAATGCTATATGGTAAACCGTAGGCAGGATTTTCATCATAACTTATTTTCTTTATATTTTCTCTTACTTTTCACTTATAACGATTCTTTCTGGCCATAGATTGATTCCAGACAATTGTGTTGACAAAAGAACGATACTCTTTACATGACATTTTTATTTACACTTAAATGCTTTCACTACAAGTACTTTTTAATAGTATGTAAAACATATGATCAAATTTCTTCTTTTGTCAACGCAATAATTATTTGTAAACAGCTGATGGCCGGAAATAATCGTTAAAATTTATCGGTCCTCAACTAACGATCTCACTAATGCCGCTGTCTCGTGAATTACAATCGCATATTTATATATTGGGAGTACTACGCCTGAAGTCGCAACTAGATCTGCTCAAAAAGACTTCAAAATTTGCATTAATATGTTTTTCGAATAGCGCAGAGGACGCTTATAAAAGAACTCAAAACCGAATTTTGTTGACTTCACTGAAATTTCGAAAATTACATTAGTTAAAATTCTTCTGAGTCTTCTTTCAACTACATAGTGAAGTTAGATTTTTCTTTTATACTTTTTTCAGAATTTGATTATTGAATAAAGTCATATACATTTTTTGAAAAATACGACTTGTTTTTTTTGCGTAATTTTGTGTTAAACTTTTAAAAACAATATTTGCTCAAAAACGGTTCCAAAATTTTCTTCACTTATTTCTTAGCACTCCTGTTAGGAAATTAGGACTTGTCTTCATTGTTTATTCATTGAAATGTATTGTTTTGGGCTTTTTTGACTGTTTTTTGACTAAAGAAATAAATCTAAATATGCCTATTGCAGTCTAATTCGGAGTATGCTTACCGCATAGAGGTCATCGCAATAGAAAAAAAATGATTACCGTAACATTAACACAACACATGGGCGAAATGGATTGACATGGCTGTCGTTTTGCTATTGAGAAGGATACCCAAATTATGTAGTTGTTAGTTTCCATGATTTCATTCAAGAAATAATGTACGCTACGCAACTCTGACGAGAGATCATCAATGTTAAATACAAATGTTTATAAATATGAGTAGTTTTCGCTTGAAGTGAAAATAGGTGAATAATATTTTCTCAATAGAAATCACGTCGCGTGTACTATTTTAAAAAAATGAGACTTGTGTCTTTAGTTGGGTGGTATATAATTTTTTAAGACATTTCACATATCCTCAAAACAGAACTAATTAAACATCCGTAAAAGTATATTTAGAATCCTCAAAACCGATATGTAATGCAAATTAACTGTTAGCTAAATTGATCAACATCGACTAAATGCTTATTGGCTTACAGACGTTTCTGAACACATGAAGCCATACGAGTCAAAACATCATCTCACAAGCTTGAAGCAATTCATATAGTTAAGTTTTAAATATCTTAAATGAACATTATAAACAATATTTCATTAGATTTTTCTAATATTTTATATCTGTAAAAAATAGTTGTTAAATATGAATGTATCAAATTTAAATGCAAGCGTTCGCCATCATAACGTTCCGGGCTGCAAGTCTTCATTTTATGAAAGAAAGAATTTTTGTCCGCGTTGCCCCCGAACCGGAGCTGTAGTGCGGCAGCGCGAGCGGCTGCCCGTGAGCACGGCGGGGGGGCGGAGCGAGGGGAGGGGATGGGTCACCCGGAGAGCGCCGCGCAATGAAGAATCCGGGGGCGCGAGCGGGGGAGGGGCGGCGGGCGGAGAGGAGAGGAGAGAGGCGGGGACGAAAGGCGACGACCGTCGCCGACGGAAAGTCTCCTCGTGGAGCAGGAGGGGCGATCCGCGCCGAGCGGTGCATCGCTTAGCACGCGGCCTCGCGAACCTATGAAACGGGTGGAGGGAGGAGGAGAGGGGGCAGGGAGCGGGTTAAAAAGAGACAGACAGACGGGGGGAGAGGCAGATCGTCCTCGTGATTTACAGGCGGTTGTTGAAAGAGTGGCAAGAAAGGAGATGGCTGGAGTAGCACAAAAGGAATTGAACTTTAAAGGGATGGAAGAGAACGCGGAATAGTAAGCATTTGAAGAAATGAAATCGCAGATATAAAGACAAATAAACCATATTAGACAGGGGATTGCCAAGTAAATGGTATCTTTCCATTAACAAAATATGGAATCAGAAACAAATTGTTAGTAAAATGGGAAGAATGTGAACTTGGCAATGTTATGAAGCAGATGTACTTTCCTCCACTTTAAAGATATTCGCTAGAGGAATGAAATACAAAGTAAATGTTTTATTGGTGCACAAAAGTAGCAAAAGAGTCGTGAAAATTAGTACGCTTAATATATCACACAAGTAATTAGTAAAACTTTACGTCAGATAAACATACGTAAATACAAATATTGTTAATAATTCTAGTCTATTCACTATCAAGAATAGTATTTAAATATATTATAAAACAATTGAAAATTGACGCATTCATGTAATCTTAGGTATAATTCAAATACGTGAATTGTTATTTCTATTTATTCACTCTTGTAGATATTCGAATATAAAACCCCACATCCTCTTGAATGTAGCGAACAGAAATATATTATGTCAAAATATCGTAATTGTCATATCGGAAACGGTGAAGAAAACATTTTGGGGTTTGAATATGTAAATTTGGGCGGAGGAAATGTGCTAAAAATGACATTGTGTTAAATATAAACACGATGGAAGAAAATATAATATGTAACGGCGGTGTACAGAAAACAAAAGCTGCAACATAAAAACTATAGGTGAGGGAGAGAAATCGTCGAAAGCATGCAAATCTTGCGAATAGCAAAATGTAAAAGTTTGAAATACTGGAAAAACTATAATAGCGAGTGAACAGTAGATGTGTGAAGCAAACAGGCGTAAAAAAACGTGAAGGGGTAAAAAGTGAAAGAGGGAAAACTAAACAGATAAAGACAGTCACGTCTAGGCAACCTGCTAAGGGAGACAGAAAGGGAGAGAGCGGGAGAGATAGGGAGGGAAAGCGAGACAGAGAGCAGGACAGCCTGTGCCGAGACCTACTAGAGGAACAGATTGGGAAAATTCGCGAGCAGAAAAACTAAAGAAAGACAGATAAGTATATAAGTAGGAGGGAAAGTCATCCTGAGATGAGAGAGAAAGTAAGTAATGGAGGGAAAAAGAGAGAGGCGCCAGGGGAGCTTGCTTCGAGAAATACGGGAACAGAGCGGGGAAAGCAAAGGAAGGAGACCTAAAAAGACAGACAGAGAGAGAGAGAGAGAGAGAGAGAGAGAGAGAGAGAGAGAGAGAGAGAGAGAGAGAGGCAGGGCAAGTCAGCTTGCTTCCAGCTTGGGCGCAACGTGCTACGTCGAGTGCTGGAGAAACTTATTTCATTTTCTTCTGAAGGAAATGCCCCACTCTCGCAGAGCCTATACGGGCTGCTAGTGGCGTCTCGCAGGGCCGGAACTAATATTAAAAATACTGAAACACTCCTGGAACTGCAGCAGCGTATTCTATCAGCCCTCCGGGCGCGCCCCGCTCCGGTGGCCTTCTGTGCAACTCGGGCCCAACTTCGGCGAGACTGTTAAGTTGTGTACGGCAATTAACTTGTATGGGGCTGTTTGAGTATATAGTCCGGTTGACTTAGCCTCATATGTGGCGTAGTTTGAGAACAAGATGTGTTGTGTTTGGAACAGCGGTATTTCACTTCGCAAAAGCACCTCGTGGAGAGTGCGTTAGTGTGGTAGACGTCATCGCTACAATCTCACAATTCATGCAGTTATCTTTGGGAAGCTACTTGTTACCCTACATTTATAGCTCGACATTCTATGTAGCCAGTAAATATATTTACAATATCCTAAAATTAATATTCATGTGTGCCTTAAAATATAGTTAATAGCTAGCAATATGCTTCTTGGTGGGTTCAAAACGCATGGCAATGTCAAAACTTTTCCCCTAATGGCGGTATACATGCCATAGAGGATTTTGTTTTCTTTGAATTCTGCTACAAAATAGCCTTGAACTATTGTTTTCTGTCAGTTTTCTTCCTTGGTTGCAAGCGTTCAAAGTATTGATATTGATTTATACTTATCGAAAACTTTTCCTCTGCCACTCTGCTCTTTACACAGAGGACGGAGACGCAAGTAGACTAGTAAATATTTGAACAGTTGATTTGCTTCACCAAGATTAATACTAGCATGTTTCTTCGGTATATAAGATGTCATTGTCAAACCTAAGGATGCACATTGCTAGATCAGAAAACTCGTTAATAACGATTGCACGTGAGCCTTGGTTTACAGAGAATAATAAATATTTTCTTGTAATTTCAAGAATTTCTAAATAAGTAAACCAAAAATATTTTTGAAAGAGGACACGTATACTTTTTTTATGTATTAATTAAATGGAGTGAAATTGAATAGAAGCATGAGTGACAAAATCCCCTTGCAAGAATATTCTCAGAGAACAAATCTGTTGGTTTAACTATTTATTTGTTCTTTATTACGATAGCCGAATTTGGGCAATGCCTACACTGCCATGCCTACACTTATTTCATCTTCAATGCTAACCAACATTGTTAAATAGAAAATGACGATGATGGTGGAAACGATATGTATGTCTGTGTTTCAGCTTGTTAATCTTGAATGTTTCTCTATGGTATGTAGCTTAACGAACACTGTTAAAAGACTATTTTAATTTTTGTAATAAACTGCGGACATCGGTGTAACTTTATTAAACATATCAAAAATGTGATGTTTTTGTAAGGGGTGAAAATCTTGCCAAACTGAACAAAAATAAAATTATGATAGATTATAAGAATGTTAATGTTACCAACCATTGCATTCCAAACTGGCACGATTTTTATCATACGTAATATATCGAGAAATACTCAAAATATTTATTTATTCATTTAAAATTTAGGCAAATGTGTAATAATATTTGTTTCGTCGAAAATATTTAATTTCATTCTACTTATTAAATTTTTATTTTTATGTGATACTCAATTTGGTATATGGAAACTATGGGGTACACCTTAAATTTCTACTAAACGTTCAATGCTGAAGATTATGCGAGGGTATGGCAGTTTATACTTGGCCTCTACTTTAATTCATAGACAGAAATATTAAGTTTTTCGATGGCCGATTCAAATTAAAAATTCTACTCCATAGCTACTTCCCCTCCTTTCCAACCATTATGTCCCCTATGCTAAGTATTCGACCTCACGTGATCCGCGTTCCACCTTGCAGTTTCAACGCAGGAGCTACACCTCTGTCTATTATGACGTACTGCCCATGAGCAGAATAATTTGAGAGTTTATTCCATTGCCACACCGCCCTGTGATTGCTCCGATACAATACTTTTCAACTGGGAGTTTCTCAAGACTTTTTATTAAAGTCAGTTCTATCAGTGATTTTTGTAAATCAGAGTTATATAGTTTTTTTTAATTCTGTCAATTTTCTTAAATGTAGTTACTTATTGATTTTGTCACTTTAATTGCAGCCTGAAGATGATGATAATTATTGCCGAAACGATGCTATTTAAAAAGTTAACTATATATTATATATCTTATTAAATTGGATACAAATTTTATTATTATTACTTTGATGTAAATTTTTTTATCCAAAATGTGAATATTTCTGTCTGTAAAATGAAGGCCATTTGTAATCTGAGGAAATTGGGACATCTAGAGGCAGAAAGAAAAATAAAACAATAGGGAAAAGTATATGTATGTAACTGAAAGTCTGAGCGTTAATAATGACAATTGGTGATGTGTTGCAGCTTCGACGTGCGCGGCCGGCAGTACGGCCAGGCCAAGATGTGGTCGTCCCCGAAGGCGTTTGGCAAGCGCGCCTACTTCCGCACGGCGTCGACGCCCGCGCAGCTGCTGGTGGAGGACGTGAAGCTGGCGGACGAGGGTGTGTACCGCTGCCGCGTCGACTTCCGAAACTCGCCCACGCGCAACCAGAAGATCAACCTCACAGTGATTGGTGAGTACCCACATATTACATCCATTGTACTGCCTGTGTAGCCAATTGGAAACAATAATCTCTTGAAATAAATAAAATTAGTGTCGGTCTGCGATATCAAAATAACCTCGCCGTCAATAAAGAAGATCAACCTCACCGTCATGGGTGAGTACCCACGTACTGCCATTGTATCGTCGATGTTGCCAATTGGAAACAACCAGCGCTAGAAATAAAATTGGATTGTCTGCCTGTGATTTCAAAATAGGGAGTTTTTGGTCGCCGTAGCGGGCAGCACAATCGCTCTTCTGCGCATGCGCATATAAACTAAAGTGATGCAAAACTCGAACTGCGCATGCGCAGATGATCGATAGTACTTTATCGTTCGTGGGTGCACGAAATCCGTAATGACCGCCATTACATAACCCCTTAGGGGCACCGTTAGCTGGCCGGCAAAGGCGAGTAATCGACACAAAAATTCGAAATACATGCACATACAGTACAAAATATTAGAAATGTGCATGTAAATGTGTGTGTAAGTAAGCGATGTGGATAGGAAGAAGAGAAAGAAAAAGGAAAGATTGTGCGCGGTCCGAAACCGTTTCTTAAGGTACTCCTCCAGTATTCGCATGGTATTGATAAGAGAAACCACGGTAAACTGCCGATCAGAGCAGCCAACAGTTATAATTCTCCTCCAGACAGCGGGTGAATTCGACATATCTATTGTGGGTCGAAAATCCGCCTCTATCCGTCGGGATCCGAACCCTAGGACCTCCCGATCGCAGTGGCAATGTTGGCTCTGAGCTACATTCGGCCGGTCCCTCCTCTTGTTCTTCCGACGCAAGGTACACCACCGCACGTCTCCATCTCCATCTGTATGTTCGACGCTGTCCTCAATTGTCAGATTACAGGGCTGGCCGCCTCGCGCATTACGTCCGCAGAGACTGTGTGTAAGCTCTCCAGAGATCCGCGGTGCGCAATGACCGCCCCTTCGGAACAGCCGCCCGCCCGTCAGGCGTGTTCGGAGGGTGTTCGCCCACGCGGGGCCTCGTCTGCCTAGCAATGAGGTCTTGGGGGCGTTGACGGCGGCCGCGACTGTGGCGAACGCCCGTTCTCACTGACCAAAGTCAAAATATTAGCAATAAATATTTATCACTCTCTACAACAGTGTGTGTAATATTTTGAATCTAACAACACTTCTCCCAAAACTACACTTCTATCGACAAACAATTTTAATTTCACCAAAACGCTTCCAACATTTCCAAATAATTCCAATATTATCAAATGATATCAGTATCATAAAAAATAGCAATTGTATGGTGTAGTCCGCAGCGTAGTGTCCAATGCACTCCGTCTAGAGAGGTTCAAACCCCAGACGCGTATTGCGGAAATAAGCGATTTTACAGTAAGTTTTCTCCGGGCTTTCCCACTACCCCTAATTCGCATACGATTATTGTTCTGTCAACTTGATCATGTAATATCGTTAACGATTTCTCTGATTCGCGACTACCCTCTGCCACCCCCATTGGCACGAATGATTACGTCACGGCTGAAATGACGGCAACATACCTTCCGAGTGACGACGCCCAAACTGCCAAAAACATCAAACTGATATGGCCGCATGTTCGAAGGTGATACATAATGCCTAAATCATTACCATATATCTAACCAGGAGACTTGGGTGCTCCTAAAGGCACTAAGATTTGAAAAATTTTGACGTCAGAATTAGTCGTGAAACGAGATCCGAGAAAGGAACGAAGAAGTCACTCTCAAAGCTGTTAACTAGAGAAGTCAAAGGACCATAGAGAACTTCATGCGAGAAATTTCGCCGATTGGCTAGAAAAATAAAACATTTAGCGTCAAACCGGCTCAAATACTCCAACCATGAAATGTCTAACGTACCAGTAAGTGCAACTTTCAAATATTTCTGTTGCGCTAAACAAACAGCTCAATAGAGCAACATCGTTTCGCAAGAGGCATCAACATTTTACAACACATTGCATAGAACTTTTGCGAAACATACATAGAATATATTTATTTCCATTCATTACTCCTGTAACTCTGATGGTTTAGAAGAAATATATAAATTAAAAAATAAAGTGAATGTGACACATGAAGCTTATTTTTATAATTCAGTTCCTATTAACATTATCGTGCGGAAATGGCAACTATTGGCACCAGAGCTTAAAAATTATTCTAATATGCTTATATAAATTTAATGATTTATTTAAGTCTAAAACAGTAAAACCTGTTTTTACCTTATGGCCAAGTACTATAAGATGCAATTTTTCTTGAGATTCAGAATATCTTCCATAATGTACTTTGGACTCCAATTGAGAGCGTAAAATTCTTATAAGAGTTTGAAAGTACAGCATGATAATTCTTAAAATCGTAATTATTGTGATGCTATAACTGGGATTCTGTCACTTATACTGTGTGATTTTCAAATATTCATTTTATGGTTCATGAAATGACTGACAGCGATGAAATTTTTATGTAACTTACGAAACCACCTTAAACCAAACAGTTCATTCCCTGAAAACGTTTCGGTGTAGGTTTTGAGTTCGGTCCCGCTAGAATAGTTCCCCGTCCCAGTGTGTGGAGGCAGCGTCCGTGCCTGGGGGTGACGGCACGTCCGCACACACTACCTGTCCACTTTCCGAAGACCGCTCACGCACCGCAGCCCTGCATGGCACTGCGCGAATACATATGTACGGGGTACTTCCTACGCGCAAACACACTGAACCCATGTGTGCGTTCGCGATGTACACAGAGATGATCACACACGCACGAAGTACTCAAACACATAATATGCGAGTACTGTGTAAGTACGTGTTTATGGATGCGTGTTCTCATAAATGGAAGGGTTGATGGGTATTTCGGCTGATTTTCTCCTCCGTGTGGTAGCGGCGCTCGTATTTTCAACAGAATTACAGCGTTGCCGCAGTCCTCTATGATATCGCATGAATGATAAGAACGATCGATAAATAATTGAACAATAATTATTCCATTGTGTGGACACAAATTGCTGAAGTTGAAATTGCTGAAGTTTGCGGAGAATCATGGGTATAATATGTGAACTGGTCGAAACCATAAAACTCAGTTAAGACATTAACTGGGTAGAATACTTGATAACGTAAGTCAAAGCTTTGAGATAAAATGTATTTTTGGATTAGCCAAACCTGTACCTGTGTTTTGAAGAGTTTTTATTACGAAGCTTAACAAACAAAGTTGAGAATTGACCTTTCTTCTCTTTTGTTTTATTTCAGAACATTCCTTGATGTGTTCGTCAGTTTTTTCGTATGTCCTGTTTTTTACAGTAACTATTCTACATTACAATAGTTTGTTACTGTTAAGTACTAGATATTCGTCATTAGTTCGTACAATTTTACGTACCTTAACAAAATAATTTTTCAATATAAATTCATATTTTATTTTTTTCCGGAATTTTATCATTACTTATTTTGAAATAAATATTACCATCAAAAGACACCATCAATGATCATTCCTACAACAAATTATTTTTATGTGTTCAGGAATTTGCACAACTAGTAATTTCACTAAATGACATATAAATGAAATATATTAATTCATTTGTGGATAAGCTGGCAGTAAATATCAAAAATGGAGTAATTGGAATTTATAAATGTAAATTCGTAAATAACTTGTCTCGGACAGTCCATATAGATCTTTCAAATACTTCAGAGGACGCTGAAATAATGCATTTAAACGTTCGAAATGTTATGCTAAATACTTCATTCAATTTCATTAATTAGAAAATCTATTAGATTAAAAAATAGTTTACCTTTTTTAAACAAGACATTGCAAAGTATCGTTACATTGGGTATTAACTATGAACATTGTAATCATTGTTTTATCAACGAGAATTTCCAGCTCCTATAAACATAATCTTTAGCAGTATTGCAATATTTCTAACGTGTGAAAAAGATGTATGAAATAAAACATGTTTCCCAAAATCTGAGAGACAAAGCGTATTAAAGATGTATTCTTGACTTCTCGTAAACGCCGCAAAGTATGCAAGAACTTTTACATTGCTTAAGTGTCCCATTGAGATAAAGTGACATTAGCCCTTTTAATCGATAAAAGTTCATCCCAGCAAGAAAAATTTTCCTCGAGCTGTACGTACTAAATTCGAAATAGCCTCGAAATATTGGGCGGCATTTTTGAGAAATTGCTACGTAGGAAATTTGGCGCATTCATAGGAACTAGTAATCAAACCTCATTCAAACCCCATTTCTTTCAACACCAATAAATTTAGGTGATGGGGAGATAAAATTTTCCACATTTAAATTACATAAAATAAAATGTTAGAGTACTTTATAACATTTTATACGGAAATAAAGAAAGTTATTTGAACTTTCATGCGTTATGTCAGTATCAGCCGTGATAATTTCTTTCTTCACTAATTTAGATCTTAGGTGTAATTGTTGAGCTATTTTCTATTCACCGCTGTAGTGTTAGTTATATCACGACTACGATAATTTCGTCACGCGATAAAATTCAATACAGCCGCCACCGATGTCTGCAATAGCAGCAACACCTATGACGAGTACGAAGGGCTCCGTTCACCCTAACGCGGCTAAGTCCCACGCAGCGCCGCGTCCCGGCTCAGCCGCTTGCGCGGAGATCGGCGTTGCGATGCGAAAAGACTCTTTTGCATCACGAAGGCGTTCGGAGCGCGTGTCGGGAGCCCCGGCAACGAGACCGCTCCGCCTCCGCCTCCGCCCTGGCTCCGCTCCGCCCC